GGGACGTCCTGTGGGGGTCCATCGGGTCCCCATAGGGTTTCCTTGGTGTGCTTTTATCACAGCTGTCACTCACTTCTTACTGGCCTCGGGGACCCAGTCGGCTCGCCCCAACGTCCTTCCAAGACCGTGATCTTCCCAGAGAAACCAGGAAAGCACGTCACCGGCTTGCTGGAGCGCTTGGCTTGATTGTGAGGATCTGGAACTGAACCCCCACATCTCTTGGGTCTGGTGCCCCACAGACTGGGTGCATCTCTCACTGTTCTGCAGGTGGAACTCCAAACTGGGGCACCAGCTGGCCAGGAGCCTGCCCCTGCTTTCTGACCTGGAGGTGGCGCTGGAGGCTGCCGCCGCGTGAATCTGGTGCAGGACGAGCCCCTGTGACAAGCGTGGGGCGACCCCCGAGGGTCTTCTTGGCCGCCATCTTTGCGGGGCCAAGTCTGGGTTTTCCTCCCAAGTCGCTGCTGGATTTGAACCTCCAACTTCATGGTTGGTTGCCACTTAAGCTTTGGCCACTGCAGGCATCAATTGACTGGCGGATGCATCTTCCAAGCCCCCATTCCTCCTCGCTAAGACGGGGTCGGGGATACTGCCCCCCCAACCCACCCCCACAAAGCACACACACACACACACTCTGACAAATCACACACTCTGAGTTGTCCTTACAATCTCGGTTCTTTATATCCACCAACACCCCACCCCCTTCACCGAGCGGGATGCCCGTCCACCTGCCTTTCTGGGGATACCGTTCAGGCTGGAAGCACTTCCGGCTGCCATCATGGCCCCTGGCTGCCAGATGGCCTCACTTTTCAAGCATTGCTGGAAGCTCAGATTTTTAGAGGAAATCTCAGAGTTTAATTCTGCCCTTAAACAAACAAAAACCAATGCGCTGTGAGTCACACCTGTGGAGCTGTTGGGTGCAGTGCACCCGCCCAGGGTACATCTGCAGGGCAGCCGGGCCATCCGGGTGCGGCCCTCTAGTCGGAAGCAGGGGTGGGGGTACTCATACGCCGGGAGGGGTTCCGCATCAGCTGACCGAAGGAGCCCTTGCCGGCCAGCCGCGCACAGGCACGCCAGGCCTTCCACGTGGTCGTCTTCCCTGGGGTCCCAGTCGGTGCTTGGGGGGCCTTGGGCAGAAGTCACAGGTCGGGGCCACAGCTGCCCTGTCGGCCTAGCTTTGTTGTTGTTTCCACTGTAGCCCCGGCAGGCCTCGGGCGCCGCGGGTCCTGCTCCTGACCATTGCGGCACCGTCGTTTCTGAGCGTGGAGGTGTGCGCGGCCGCGTCATGGACGGCGGGGAGCCGGCCTCGGCGGGTTGCTGCGCGCTTACGGTTGGTAGACGGCCGGAGATGTGGAGCCCCAAACCGAAGCCTGTGTCGCGCTTCTGCAAACCCGAGCGAGCTGGGTTGTCACTTAGCTCGGCCTCGCAGCGCCCTCAGAGCCAGATGCGCACCCCCTGCCACCAGGCCGCCGCCCTCCAGAGATCCAAACAACAGCCAAGGCAATTCCCGCCACGCTGCCCCCATGGGAACTGCCCCCTAGCGTTTCCACTCACGCTGCCCCCTAGGGTTTCTGCCCACGCTGCCCCCTAGGGTTTCCGCTCACGCTGCCCCTATAGGAACTGCCTCTAGGGTTTCCGACACTCCCTAACCCTGTAGGAACTACCCCCCTAGGGTTTCTGGCCATGTGGCCCCCATAGGAACTTCCCCCTATGGTTTCTACCCACACTGCCCCTACAGGAACTGCCCCCCTAGGATTTCCACCCATGCTGCCCCCATAGGAACTACCCCCTAGGGTTTCCAGCCACGCGGCCTTTCTTGCAGCAGTTCTCAATCTGTGGGTCGCCACCCCTTTAGAGGTCGAGTGACCCTTTAACAGGTTTCCCCGATTCATAACAGTAGCAAAATTACAGTTATTAAGTAGCAACAGAAATAATTTTATGGTTGGGGGTCACAACATGAGGAGCTGTATTAAGGATTGGGCATGAGGAAAGATGAGAACCACTGCGCTATAGGCACTGCCCTTTAAGTTTTCTAGTGTATGCTGCCCATATAGGAGCTGTTCCACGGGATTTCTGACTCATGTTGCCCCTCTAGGAACTGCCCCTTGGCTTTCTGATGCATGTTGGCCCCATAGGAACTGCGAGAGGGTTCCTGATTCACGTTGGCCCAATAGGAACTTCCCCAAACTAAATCTCTAGGGACACAGATAGAAACATCTTCCTATTGGAGAGCAGCTGGTGGGTTCAAACCACAGACCTCTCTGTTTGGAGCCCATTGCTGGACCACAGCACCACCAGGCTTCCTTACGTGAAGGTTGCAGCCTGGCAGATCTTGTGCGATAGGGCTGCTCTGTCACCAGGGTCCTGGCGATCAGAATCATCTGAGCAGCACACAGCAAGCATCAGCATGAGCATGTGTGCATCGCCCCAAAAGTGCCATTCCCAAAACAGATGGGTGACATTAATTCACCACGTGTGCCTCCTTCACCACTGTCCCATCCACAAGTCTGTCTGCCAGTGTCGTGGGTGTCTTCGAGTTTGCCCCGACTCAGTGTTGTGCCCTGTGTACAACAACGAAACCTGCCTGGTCCTGGGCCCTCCTCGCCGCTGTGGCTGGGTTGGAGCCTAACATCCATAGTGTCCGTCCATCTCATCGAGGCCTTCCTCTTTTTCACCGCCCTTCTGCTTTATCAAGCACAAGGTCCTTCTCCAGGGACTGGGTTCTCCCGACAACGTGTCCAAAGTACGTCGGCTGAACTCTCCCCATCCTTCCTCTACGGAGCAGTCCGGCTGTACTCTTTCCAAGAGAGATCTGTCTGTCCTTTCAGCAGTCTGTGATGCTTTCTGCATCCTTCTCCAGCACCAGTTCACGGACTTCGATTCTTCGGTCGTCCTTGCTCATCCCCCACCTTTCGCCCGCCTAGGACGCAATGGAAACCCCCGCTTGGACCAGGCGCACCGCAGTCCTCAAAGCCACCTTGCTTTTCAACATTTTAGGGGTCATGGCCCCACTGTTTGTCAGCACCCCAACAAAGCTCAGTTAGTGTCCCTTGAGCAAGAACTACTCCTCCCCTCTGCCAGCCCCTGGTGGCCCGAGTGGTGGCAGGTAGAGCATTCAGAAGGTGTGAACTCACTCACTTGGTATCTCTGTGCCCCGTTTAGACCGTTCTCAGAACGTGGCTGATTTTGTTTGGAATGTCATTGCATGTTTCATAGGAATAGCAGTGTTGGCGTCAGTTTTCTGTGCACAGAGAAACCAAAGTCCTACCACGGTATCTCCACGTTCCGCCTGTCGCCTGCATTAGGTAGGCAACGCCAACTGACCCCGTTCAGGGTCAACGAGAAGTGGGTGCCGTTTTGTTCAGGTCGAAAGAAGTGGACGTCATTTTGTTCAGCTAGAAATGGATTCTTAGAGGAGCCTGGTGCTCTGTGGAGCTCCGTGCTCCCTGGAGAAGGTGTCTGGCCTTCCATCGTTAGCCTGGGGCTTTGTTGTACAGCCGAGGTTCTGACCTCGCTCAGGCGGCCCTGCAGCCCCGGAAGTGCTTGAGCCAAGGCATGCTCTCAAGAGTTCCACGTCCCAGACCTTCTGAATCCAGATCTGTGGTTTATGGAGCCTCTACCTGGGAGAAAGGTGGGCGTGCTACGCCCTGTGTAAAGATGTACGGTCTCGCACTCCCACCGGCCGTTCTCTGGCCTGCGGGGTTGATCGGAGCCAGCATGGAGTCCATGGCGATGGGAATTTTAGAATCCCGGCATTGCTATGAGACAGAATCAACTGGAAAGCAGTGAGTTTGAGTTTTCATTGGAGAAAGCTTTGTGGTAAATTCCAGTAACTGACCAGACTTCGTAACTGTTAAGGAGCTCTGCTGACATAGTGGGTTATATGTTGGAGTGCTAACCGTAAGGTCAGCAGTTCGAACCCACCAGCTGCTCCTTGGGAGAAAGATGAAGCTGTCTGTTCCCATAAAGATCACAGCCTAAAAAAATAAAAAGATGACAAAGCAAATTCACTGCCATTGAGTCCATGCTGACTCAGAGCAACCCTGTGGGTTCTCAAGACTCTAACTCTCTGGGAGTAGAAAGCCTCGTCTTTCTCCCAAGGAGCAGGTAGTGGTTTCAAACTGCTGACCTTGTGGTTAGTAGCCCAATGCATAACCACTATGCCACCAGGCCTATCTGCCCTAGAGGGTCAATACTTGTTGGAATGGACTTCTCAGCAGTGGGTTTGGGGTTTTAAAAACTGTAAATGCATTCCCTGGGATTCGGACCTTGCACAGTGGAAACCGTCCATTGAAACAATGTAGAACCTCGACAGTTCCTCAGGAAAAGGGAAGGCGGCAGTACAAGGCCTGCAACCTGGCCGACACCCTCTCCGGCAGCCAGGTGTGCTTGGGGAGCTCCACGAAAAGGCCCGTGATTAGGTTTGGAATCGGAAATGGGTCTGCGCGAGTAATGACTCCTGATGTTGAGCGCCTGGTTCAAATCGTTCGTTGTACAGTGGGCTGGTGGTCCCGGCACCTCTGGATGCGGCGGAGCGAAGGTGATTGTCCCGTGTGCCTCTTTTAAGTGTAGGCGCCAACTTCGAAGCTGGCATCTGGAGGTCTTGATTTGTGGAGCTTATAAAGCACAGTGTCTCTGGCAGAGCGGTCAGCCGGCGCCCACTCGGTCGGTCACGTGGGCATCGTGGCGCGTGGCACAGGAGGGTTCTGTCAGGCAGCCGAGGGTCTCCCAGCCCCAACCTCTCCCTGCCGGGCTGAGAGCCAGAGTGGGGTGTGGTGCTCTCAGGGGGGGCTGCTGCGTGTGTGAGGCCCGTCGAAGCACCGGTTCCTGCAGAATCCTTTGTGAGCACGTCACCTTGTGTCCCCTGCAGCGTCCCTCGTCCTGAGCAAGAGGGACAGTGGCTGCTCGGCAGGGACGAAGACCACGTGCCAGGCCCTTTCGGGAGTGCACTGGCGCCTGGGCTGCAGACCGCCCTGGTGTTCACCTGGCTTGTTTATTCCTAGGGCAAGTGACTAGCGCGTCTGGGCCTCAGATGGCAAGCGGCGTCAGCTTGGTCTCCTTCAACAGCCGGCCGGACGGCATGCACCAGCGCTCCTACTCCGTGTCCAGTGCCGACCAGTGGAGCGAGGCGACAGTCATTGCCAACTCGGCCATCAGCAGTGGTAAGAGAGGGCACAGCCTGCCGAGGCCAGCCCACGCGCCGCTCGCAGGGAGCGCCCAGCCCGAGGCAGGCTGGTGTGCACGTATCCACGGACCGGCCCCTCGGGGAGGAGCTCCCTTTCTATCCCCACCCGGAAGCCGGCTCAGGGAGGGGAAGTGGCTTGCCGGGGGTCAGGAGAGGAGGAGGTGGCAGAACTGAGAGCGATTGTCCGAGGTGGCCCTTCCATCCCACTGCCTGCCGGGCTGCCATCGGTGCACACGCCAAACCCGTCACTGCCAAGGCCACAAGGTGATGCCGACTCTGGTGCCCCCCCCGGGTGTGGCCCGGGGACCTTTTGGGTGCAGAGCGCCAGGCCTTTATTCCGAGGTGCCTCCGTGTGTCCCGACATCCCATATCTCAGTTAGTAGCCCGTGCTCAGCCGTTTGCGCCACCAGGGGACTCGTCATATCCTTGGGGATTTTGTCTTGGTGTTCAGTCTTGTGTTCTTTGTTTCCTTTTTCTTAAGTAAGTAGACTCGCTCACCCTGCTGGACTAGCCAGGGTGAGACTCTCTGCTGCTAGGTTTCCACCTGCCTCGCTCTGTTTGACAGGTGTGGAGCTCGTGGCGCGAGCAGAGCCGGCACCTCAGAGGGGCTCGAAGAAACGGGATTGTCCGTTCTCTGTACCCCGGGATTCGATAATCTCTTCTTTCTTTACCCGCCCTCCCTGAGCCTCATACCCAAAAACTAAGCTCCCTGTCACCGAGTCTGATGCACAGCAATCCGACAGGACAGGCCCTGTGGTGTTTTGAGCGGACAGTTTCATCTTTGTCCTATGGAGTGGCTGGAGGCCTTGAACTGCTGACCTTCTGGTTAGCAGCCCAGCACATAACAATTACACATCAGGACCTCTGGGATCTTTTAACAGGACTTGGGGCTTCCTCACTGGCATAGTGTAAGGGTGGAGCGGGATGCCCAACATCTAAGACAAGAACCACCTCTTTCTGAGGGATCAGTGTTCCTCTGCCTGATTATTTTATCAGATGCTTTTAGCTTCAGACAGAGCCCTGGTGGTGTAGTGGTTATGCTTGCGGCTGCTAACTACAAGGTCAGTAGTTCAAAACCACCAGCCCCTCCACAAGAGGAAGATGAGAAAGACAAGGCTTTCTTCTCGCGTACAGAGTTACAACCTCGGACACGCACAGGGGCAATTCCACCCTCTCCTAGAGGGTCACTGTGAGTCAGCATCAACTCGTTGGCACTGACTTTGGTGTGGGGCTTTACCTGGGCGACTGAAGGGGTTTGTCCATGAAGGAGCCCTGCCAGGTAGGCGCTGGATGGCTACCCACCAAATTGGGGGTTCAAACCCTGTAAATGTTCTACAAGAGAAAGACGAGGTTATCGGCTCACGTCAAGGTTTACAGCCTCAGAAGCCATGCATTGGGTCGCTGTGAATCACAGCCAACTCAGTGGCAGTGGGTCGTGGGTGCTTAACCTACAGGTTGGCACTCAGACCCACCCGTGGGCACTACAGAAGGAAGGCCTGCCACTCGGCAGCTCCTTTAAAGTCCTGCCTGACAACGCTATGGCATTGAATGTGATGCCTTTACAGACTCAGTGTGAAAAATAGAAGAAAGGTTGGACAGAAAACGACGACGAGACAGGGTTTAAACCAGGTGACAGCTGCCGATTGAGACCTGTGTTAGTCCAGGTAGACTAGAGAAACAAATTCATAGACATTCATGTGTATAAGAAAGAGCTCTATATAAAAGAGCAATTGTATGTTAAGAAGACATCCCAGCCCAGTCCAGATCAAGTCCCTAAGTCTGATATTACCTTTATGTCCGATACCAATCTATAAATTCCTCTTCAGACTCAAGCAACACATGCAATGATGCCGAATGCAGGAAGATCACATGCCAGTGGGTGGGGAGTCTTGTGGATCCAGTGGTGGTGGAAGCATCTCAGCACTGGCGTGGGTCTCCATGTGGCTTCTTTGGCTCCAGGGCTCCAGCATAGCTCCATGAGTCTTGTCAGCAGGAAGACAAAGCAGAGAGAGTATGTGTGTCCCACCTCCAGGGAGGAAGACGGGTTCCCAGAATCCTCAGGAGAAGGCCACGCCCACACAGAGTCATTATTGGCTTTGACCTGATTGACAGGCTAGACTCCACCCCTTCGCTCAAGGTGACAGGAAATTATGTAACTGCCACAAGACCCTTTGGGGTCTCGAAGGCTTGATCTGCAAGCACCCACAGGCTGTGTGATCTTGGTCTTCACCTCGGCTGGCCGACTTGCACCTCCGTAAAGATCATGTTGATCATGGCCACCTGTGTGCCCCCCACTGGTCTAGAAGAGAGGGCCTCGGTTTCTGGGAGGTGAAGAGGAGTCCTGGGGGCACAGTGGATGAGGCGGCCGGCTCCACACGAGAGAGACCTGGCCACCTGCCTCTGTGAGGACAGCAGCTGGAAACCTCATGGGGCCGTCTTGCTCCATCCCACAGGCTCTCTGGAGTGGGAATCCATTTGACGGCTACAGGGTTGCATGTTTAAAAATCCACAGTCTTGGACAGATGCCCTGTGGAGCCACCGTACTCTGACTCACACAGTCACCATGCGTCCTCAGAGTCGCCTGACTGGTTTATAATCTGAGGTCTGCTAGGTGTGAATGTGGCTTTTAAACTTACAGACCCAATTCAACCCCCTTTCTGCACCCGAGTGTCTGTTATTCACGGCCGTGACACGTGTTCAAATCTGCACACGCCCCCTGACCTCACACAGGTCACCCATACCTCTCGAGGAGTGGCCTGATTTACAACAGAGCCAGTGCGATGCTTGAGCCCATTTCTGCAGCTGTGGGACTGATCTGTTTGGTTGAGTGTCTTCCTCTGTCCTACTTCAAGAAGCACGAAGTCCCTCTTGGGAACTTGCTCAAAGTACGTGGAACAAAGCCCCACCCCGCTTACCTCTCAGTTGCATGCTGGTGGTTAGAATGTTCTTCCCAGACAGACAGCTGTCTGTTCTTCTGGCAGTGCAAGCTGCGTTCAGCATTCTTCATCCAAACCATCGTTAACGACATCTTTTCTCTGGTCTTTGTTCATTGGCTGCAACGTGCTGATCAGTATCATAGCATTCCAGGACTGCTGTACACCCGCCACCGCCCCCCCCCCC